CCCGGCCCGCACTCCCGCCGGGCAGTGAAGAGGTGAGGAGTAGCCTCTGACCTGCCCGCACGTCTCTGCCGACCCCTTCACCGCAGCCGGGAGGAGACGACTGCAGCAGAGACACCCCTCCCGTCATGGAGGGGCTTGCGGTAAAGAGGAGATCTGTGCTGGTTACATCAGTCTTTCCTCAGAGGCTCAAACGGCGCTGCCTAACGTAACCACACAGCTTTTGTGTACATAGAAGAAACCCGTCCTAGTTTGTAATTAGTAAATAGCAGCAGAAACCTCTTTAAATTGCTGCCATCTGTGCAGGTTATTATTCAGGCAGGGAGTGACATTATATTGTCACAGATATTAAAAAACCCTCTGATTTAAGACAAGCTTAACGTACAGAAACATCCAGTACTGCCCACAGCTGTGGGGTTTGGAAAGCATACAAGTGCACTTATACATGTTCACAGTTTTAAATTCCTTTTTAAATACATTTAATCCCCGGGGGGCAGCAGGCATGCCTTCTCTTTCTTCCGGGTTTCTTTTTTTTTTTCCCCTTCTCACAGTCTGGAAAATTTCCATCTGCCAAGAAGCAGCCAGCCTGTAAAAGGGGCACCATGCATGTTGAACTACAGTCTAATCACTCCATTTCCTTTAAGCATTGTATTTCCATGTCTGTCTGCAGGAACTATTTCTTTTAAGTCAAATGTGCACAGATTAACACATCAGGATCAGATGGAGCACCTCAAAACAGATTTCCATCCGCAATTGTCTATCTTGGACTTTGGCTTTAACACCAGTGCTCCCCTTTTCAGTACCTCGGTCTTGTTTTGCTCAGACAGGCTTGCCCCGTGTTTGCAAACATATCAGTTGGGAGGGCACAAACTGTTAAATGTCCAACTGAAAGCATAACTACTTACATCACAGAAACTAAAGATCAGGTTCCTACCCCTGACTTGCAGAGACACTTGAAAAACAAAAACCTTTGTCAGTATTAATACGTGCCTGGAAAAAAAAAAGGCCTTTTGAGAGTTGAATTTGATAGGGAACAAATGCATTAATTAGCTTGGGATTTTGGATTAATCCTCTGATTCTTGCTATGGAAATCTAAATATAGCTAACGTTTCATGTTCTCCTTTCAAGCTGACTGAAGTGAAACCAAGTGTGGGTTTTGTTAATTGGCAGGCTTTCAATTTGGTTGTGCTGTGTTTCACAGAAGGAAGTTAACTTATTGTTGGTAGGAGACAAGGGTAACAGAAAAGAAAAAACAGCCCCAGAGGGTAAATCACTTTTTAAATACCTGTAAGTATACTGAAATAAGGATGTGATGTTACCGTCACCCTGCAATAAAATGGAAAATCTTAAAATTCCAGGCGATCAGTTCCACTTACCTGGAGGCCTAGCCCACACTGGTCTGGTGCGACAACAGCGATTTCCAGCACAGCGGACCTTTTATCAAGTTGACAGTTACTGTCTAAGTCCTAAGTAAAGAAACCTTTCTTCATTTAAGACTTGCATGAAAGATAAACCAAGAGCATCTAAAGCAACATGCTTTGAGCTGTGAACAACAAGTTTAATGGAGGCTTCCAGAAAGCTCGTGTCACAGCCATTTTCTACTAAAGCAATCACTTACTAAGTTACCTTTGGCTGTGTGTTTTTGCAAGCACATGGATTTTTGTCTAGTAATTTAAAAAAGTAGTTTTAACAAATATTTCAGATCTACAGATACAATTGTGATTGGCAGGGGGAAAGTACAACGGCAAGGCACTGCAGCCCAGAATTACAGTGTCTCTGGGGTACATGTGTTGCTCTTTGCTGCTTGATTATGTCAGATCACCCTGCTGTCTTTTTTTTTTTTTTTGGCATTCACTGTGAGCCTGCATATTTTTAATTCCTATATTATGGCATATAATACCTTTCACTCATAATTTTGCTCTCTGCAAACTTTGATCAATTAAGTTAGAAATCCCTCACTTAAAATTTAGTGTGGTTAGTTACAGTGATCTGATAGTCCAGTTCAAATTACTCTGATGCAACAACATGGACTTATTACAAACAGCATCCCAGCCTGTTGGACTTCCATCAAGTTGGGTGCTGCTCTACAGGCGTTAAATAAGCCGATCTTTCTATGTTTTTCAGCATGCTAGATGAATCATCATTAGTGAATTTTTATCTGTGCTAAGCCAAGTGGTATGTTTAATTTATCGGGGCTGGAAAAGAGATCTGAGAAGCCCATAGAAGATGTTGCTTGCCTGTGTTAGCCAAGGGAGCCCATTTCAGGGTTAGGTGGCAGAGAACTTCAGGCCAGACAAAACAGCAAAGGGCTGTACAGGGGTTTTTGGGGGAAAGTTTGTGTGTGCAATTGTGTATGATGTGCATGGATATATTCTTAGTGGTCATTCTTAGATAGTCTAAGAAAATCACAATTCACTTCACAGGTCTGTATTGAAAACTATTGTTCAAGTCCTCGATAAATGTGCCAGAAACGAGTATCATGTGCGGATGAAAAAACCTCTTTAAAATCTAAGCAAATATATTTCTCCGACCTTTGCCCTCAAGGAGCCACTGTGCGAATGTGTTGGCAATTGTTTGAAGAGCATGCATGATAAGCTCATTTTCACGATATTACTTCATATTTTCACATATTCGTATTTTAGCTGACATGGAGCAAAGTCACTTCACTCTCATTTGCCCCATCACAACCTCTTCAACCTTTGAAAATTCAGGATATCATTATACAGGTGGTCAGCAGAAATGCCTTACCTTGATCTATCTGCAGTACTCCCCATTAGATGGGGGCTGGTCTGTGTAGCATTGTTTCTCGGTGAGTCATGCAGATCCCTCTGTAGTTTCTTCTACGCAGTGCTGTGCTATGCATGATCAGCGGGCTTCGAGGGTGGCATTGTTTCCTGAATGATGTAACTGAAAATTCCCTTTCCTGTGCTTCATGTTTCCTGATCAGTTTTCTCTTTGCTCTTGAAGACATTCCAGCAGCTGCATATCTTTTATTCCCCATCTTTTATTCCTACGAATTTCTGTGAAGACAAGTTATGTCAACAGCTACTTTAATTAATTTGGTACGAAATGGAGGGTATCAAGTAAGGAGGAGAGCCGTGCTGACGTCCCGCCTCTTGCAAGACGAGAAGCGTCCGACAGCTGCCTGCTACAGCTCCACCTCCGAGCGCCGTGCTTCCCGCTTCGATCCAGACGGGAGCGGGCGACCTACCACTTGGGACACTTTTGGCATCTGGGACAATCGCATTGATGAACCTATTCTCCTCCCACCAAGCATAAAGTATGGGAAGCCGATTCCAAAAGTCAGCCTGGCCAACGTGGGCTGTGCTAGCCATATTGGGAAGCGTAAGGAAAATGAAGACCGGTTTGATTATGCTCAGCTGACGGAGGATGTCCTGTACTTTGCAGTCTATGATGGACATGGTGGGGCGGCAGCAGCAGACTTCTGTGATAAGTACATGGAAAAATATATTAAGTAAGTGTGCATCAAGTGAATGTGTTTCAAATTAATTACAGTAGAGATTCCTTCCTTAGGACTGAAAGGGAACCAGGGGGTCATACATTGTGACTAATCCTCCGAGGTTATATAGCCACCTAGCCCAGTGGGACAGCAGAACACCAGACTGGAGCAGTCCATTACAACGGACATACTGTGAACTACTTATTCTGTATGGTGCCTGCCCCATTGAGCAAGCCCGCAAAGGCAAGCGAGGGAAATACGATTGTACCCACCTTCCAGAAAAGGACTAGGAACACAGAGAGAGTGTGAACTGACTGTTTTCAGGTGGGGTCACTGTGATCGCTGACCTACAGCTTGCTTTCACTCTTCTGTATCTCTATGTCACATCCCTGGGTGTTGGAAGAGGAATTTTATCTATTTGCAAAATAACAGGATTATGCTTCCAGTGCAGGTCATTAGTAAACTCATATTACCTTTTTACTGAAATCCAGCATTATTCAATGCATGCAGGGAGGAGATAAGGCTATGGAAGAGATTGTTCAGGTGTTTATTTCTTGGAAAGAATTTTTAATTTTTTGTTTGCTTGTTTGTTTCCAGAGAATTTCTTGCTCAGGAGGAGAACTTGGAAAATGTTTTGAACAAAGCTTTTCTAGAAATAAACAAAGCGTATGAAAGGCATGCTCATTTGTCTGCTGATGGTAGGTAAAAAAATAGTCTACTCATATGGGTGTGGAGAATAAGGTTTTTCTTATTTGCTCAGTAGTTTTGTAGTAAAATGTCCAGAAAAATGTTTGAAAACAGTTTTACTTAACATAGGATTTTGTTCTGATCACTTACTGCAAATGAAACAATTATGCTTTACCTCCTTAAAATGAAAAAGCTATAAAGAATCAAAATCAAATTTATTGGGGGAGTTATTAATCTGAATGTTAGCATAATCATCAATGAATTTCTCATAATGTGATTCTGTCAAGGAAAGTGTTTGTCAAGTTAGTATTTAGATTTGCAAGGATCATAACTTTACTGTGCAAGAAACCTGGAGAGGAGGTTTGTTTTGGCTTGGGTTTTTGGGGGGAGGTTTGGTGTTTGGCTTTTTGTGGGTTTTGTTTTGTTTTTTTTTTAAAGCTAGGTTAAAAGCAACAGTGTCAAAAGCTCCCCTTGCTAACTTGGCTGCTGCACTTGAGGAGTAATGTAAGCCAAAATTAATACAATTGATATTGCTTCTGCACAAACAGAATCACAGGAGTAGCTGAGTGTGAAAGGGAAAAAAGCAGTGAAGAGGAGAACAAGGTTGGCTGTGGTAAAGCTGGCACCAGCCCTTTCAGACTCCTTAGTCCCGGCTGTTAACCAAGTTCTGTACATATATCTAGAGACTAAGTACAACTGAAGTTCCACTTCCAGCAAGTAGAGCTTACAGAGAGTAACTTGGAAAAGGAGATAGAGGTCCCCATCCCAGTTCTGTCACAGGAGATTCTGCAGCCATGAGTTACAATTTTAAGAGTCAGGTTAGCCAGTCTTAAAAAAACAAAACAAATCCAATCAAAAAAACCCCAAGCCCACAAAAAAAAACCCAAAACAACCAACAGAAAAAACCCCCAAACCTGTCCCAGTGCTGGTGCAGGTAGTAGCAAAATGACTGAGGTTGTTTCAGAAGAACAGGAACTGTAAAAGTTTTCTCTCCAAGAAGGACTTGAAACCAACAAGCCCTCTAGGGACTGACGTGGTACTGTATTCTCAAGCTAGTTTTCTCAAGCAATGAATGAATACAATCAAGCAATGGAGTGGCGTCCTGCACTTTAACTGCTAGATGAATCTGGATAGACTCAAATATTTCCTGGCAGGACAGTTAGCCTGACTGTTGCAGCACTGTCAGGGATACACACCTTTCCTCTTATCTGGTACAAGCTAAGTATCAGGGACATCAGGGGAAAAAGTCTTATGTCCTGAAATGCAGCCCTTAAAAAAGGAGGATTAAATCTATAAAGCTCATTTTCCATTTTTTTTAAATTGAAATCCTTTAAAAAAATAATTGGTAAAAAAAGTCAAGGCCGTTTTCACCTGTGGGGTGAGTTTTAGCTGAGCTCATGAGAGACACATCAGTAGAGCAGATGTGCTTTTTATCCAAGAGCGTCCTAGCAAATGTTTTATTAAAAGCCCAAATTAAAGAAAGTGTCAGAATACAGCCTTATGTGCTTCCCTGGATCAGGACCCTTCCTTTTCACTAACACGAAGATCTGTTATATTTGTCCCCCTCCTTGCCCCTTTGTTTGGCTTGGTTTGGCTCACTGAAGTGACCTCTGTTAAGTGTCATAGCAGCTCCTTGAGGAGAAGGATTAGGAACTGTACTTGGTATATTATTCTGAAAACAGTTTCTGATGGTAGTATTCCGTACATGAGACTGACAGAACTGGATAACAACAATATTTGACAGACAAGTTGTGCAGCAAGCTGAGCATTTTGGAACTGCTTATAGGATTTTTTTTCATGTCATTTAACTAACTGGTGCTGCTTAATGAAATATAATGCAAATGTCAGCAAATTTACCTAACAGCTACCAAGATACTGGACAGACCCTCTTCATTAAAAAAGCTTGAGGTCAAGGAAAATAGAGGGCAAAAGCATTGTCAAACATCCACAGGGGCCACACTCTGGCAAGTACTCAGTGTTTCTCAGGCAGGCTGAGCACCTGCAAGCTCTTGCAGGAGCCAGTGGGATCTAAAAGTGCCCAGTGCTCTTGACTGGTTGCCCAGCTGAAAATCAAGCTATAAAGGCAGAGTGGAGTAACAGGGTGCAAAGACAAGCATGGATTTCTGAACAAATTAAACTTTTTGCATATCTATTGTTAAAATAATTCAATACTATGTTGACTGCTTAATGTGGTTATTTTTATTGTTGATGCTGTTTTGAAAGTTATATAAAATGTCAATGCTTGGCATGTATCCTTGTTAGAAGCCTACTTCCAAACCGATTCAGTTTGCCAGCAGAATTTCTGATTAATTGTGGCTATTCTAGATGTGACAGTCGAGACCGTTGCTAAAGTTATCTTGAAAATGGTGGCTGGTTGTGTAACACTGGGTATCTGGGATACGCTGGATGCTCCCCAAGACTGACCTCCTTTTCAAACCTGACTGAGGAAATGGAAAATAATAGCTCAGTCTTGTTCCAGTAGATGACCCTGCCAGGGTTCACTCCTTTCACTGTATCTGCAAAAAAAGCAGTGTGTGTTCAGGATGTCCAGGCCCTTACTAGCACACAACCAGCTTTGAAAGTGTGTGCCTGGGTGTTTGAAGGAACAGAAGTCTTGGGACAAATTCTTGTAGCCAAAATTGCATGGATATTGTTTGATGCATTGTTTATAGTACTATTTTATAGTACTATTTAAGGGGTAAAACCCTCATACAATGGCACAAATTTAACAGGACCACAGATGTGCCTTGTTGGAGCACATAGCTATATCTTCAAGGTCACAGCCCTTTGTAGGTCACTGTACAATTACAGAATATTTGAAATTATAGATGGAAAATACACAGCATAATAGTTTCTGTGAGTTTTCGATTAAAAAAAAAAGAGTACGTATGTGTTCCAGGGACTGCTACTGTGTCTGGCACGCAGTCCACTAGTGCTCTTGGAGAGCTGTACTGGCCTGTTGGAGACTGGTCCAGTATCCCCTCTGACAGTGATCTGTACCTGTTGTTTCACACAAAAGCAGAAGAAACTTGCTGTAGGCAGGTCTGGGATAATCTGTCCTACACCTAAATCCTTTCTAATGATTAACAGCTTAGAGATATGCCTGAGCCCTGAAGCATGGTGTTTGATATCTCTTAACAAATGCATTTTCATTCACTTTCATACATTGAAATATATCCAGTCACTTTTAAGTCACTGCTAAACTTAGGTACAGGACATAGTAAAAGAAGCTCATGTCCAATAAATATGTCATTATCCATGAGACAACTGTTAACACAGATGGACAGAATTTTCTGATATTTTTGACCAGCCATAAAAACTGAAATATAAAAGCTGAATAGCTTTGCTCAGCAAGGACAGAAATAAGGAAGTGAATCATGTGCTTGAGGAAATCTGAGCATATCTCTGGAGAAATGTAAGAGAAACCCTCTCCTGGCCTAGTGCAGTCTTACAGGGTACTGCTACTGCTGTTCACTGCGATGCACTAAGAGAAAATAACGGGGAGCCTTTCCATCAGCCTCCAAGTTGAGTGCATCCAACTGCAATCCCATTGGCCACTCACTTCTGGAATAGCCATCTTATTAAAACATAGCCAGGTATTAACTGATGTATCTAAGTTTGAAAGGCACTCCTGGAATCTTATTATGCTGAGCAAACAGCAAAAGTTATTTAAAAATAACTAAATTTAAAAAGTAGTGGGTTTGGGGTTTGGTTTTTTTTAAGTTACCAAACATATGATTTTTATTTCTTTGAATATGTTAACCTGCAACACTGAGGAAAAGGGAGAGCTGCAGAAATTGTACTTAAATATTTCATAAATCGTCAACATTACAAAGGCAGCCTTTTTATCCAAAGGCCCTGATTATTACCTAATCAAGTTAGAAGATACTAATTACAATATTAAAGGGGTGTTTATTTTGCATATTTTCCCGTGGGTCAGAATAATTCATATACTTCTATTCAGTGCCTTTAAGATGGCTCCATTTGAGTTGGCACTGGTTCAAACTCCCCATTTTTGTGTTACATAAAATATATATATAAATAAATAAATAACCTCGAGGGAATAGATTGGGCCATATTCTGTACTGAAGATGTTCTTCAGAACGGCCACTTTTGCCATATATGAGACAGCTGGCCCTCTAGCATTGATAACATTCTTTGGCTGATTTTTTTGGTTGGTTACTTAACCTCCACAGGAAAAAAAAAGAATTGTAGCTTTTATTTTGGCTGAACTAAAACTGGTTTTGTCACACAGTTTTAGCAAGAAGGCGAGAATGGTGGCAATTCCCCAGAAATACCAAGGCTGATCTATCTGTGGCCAAAGATGCATGTGTAAATCCCAAGTACTTCCTGTACGACCTGCAAAACACAGTGCAGGCAAACTCAAGAGTGACTACTTCCCTGTTCTGCAGCCCTTACTCTTTCATCTCCAGTGTTGCAGGTTTATTTTGTTTGAACAAAGTCCCTGGGTGAATTTCCTATTTGCCTCTGTGTGCGTGTTATTTGTGGCAGACTGTACCTGGTCAGCAGCTCTAGAACTGGAGGCCCTGGACACTATATGCTGGGCTTCAGTGGAAAGAGAGATCTGCTTAATTTTGTCCCAGGTGAAGGAGTCCGGCGGTTCCTAGCCTGGACTACTGGAAGGTTCCCACATCCTCTTTGTCACATTAGTTGAGATGACTTGCAGTAAAAGTTGTCCAGTGAGTGTTAAGAACCTATTGAAAGATCTTAGTTTTATAGTGATATTGTTAGGAAAGCAAAATAAATTCTTTAATTGTTAAAACCAATATATATGCTGATGCAACGTATTTTGATATTAAATAACCTAGCAGCAGTTGTAGTAAAACATTAGAAATGTTATCCCATCATCATTCCTGTGTTTTCGAGCTGTACCCCCTACCCAGGGGTTCCAAGGAAGAGAGCGTGAGCAGCATTTATTTTTTTAGGAGTGCTGTTTAACTAATAAATGTATATAAAGCACAAGTCACTATGACTGTTACTGCAATTCTGGACCATATCTTGACTTGTTCTTTAGAATCATCCCTTGATTTTGTGATAGCGGTTCTTTTGGCTTTGAGAGTTTGCACTTAAAAGATGCAGATTCACCTGAATGTCCAAATGTTTCCTAGTCATTTATGATTCAAAGACTACAGATCTTAAATTTTTCAGAAACTGCTTATGTTTGTCAGCATAGTTCCAAAACCAAGGAATGAAATGGGAGAGCAGCAGCATTTCTGCATTAATTTTAATGTCTAAATAAAATGTATTTTCTGTGAAATACAAAGGTAGTTTTATGTTGGTTCTTCATATCAATTCTTTTAACTGGTGGCTAAAACAGGTATTTTACTGGTTCTACTAAAATTTCTAATCGCCCTGGTACTTCTGGCATCTTACTTTCATAATGTGCCTCAGAGTGAGCCTGCACTGGACTAGTCCTTGGCTTCAAATTAGAAACAGGATGTCAGTGCTTACCTGAATAGTCAGAAGCTACCAGCATCTCAATAATTTTGAACATCGTAGCCTGTGTGGCAGCCCTAATGTAGTCCAAGATTTGACTTAGGTCACCATGGGTGATGATCACAATTGACGTGTTGTTTACGTGTATGGCTAAACCAAGTCCTCACTGCAGTAATAATACCTGTTTTAAATAATAACACAAGCTTAGTTTAGACTTTTGTGAGTTTTTTTTTAATTCATCACTACTTTTGCTGCACAACAAGGCTCAATGCATCTTTCAGGGCTTTGTGCACTTCAGTTTACTCCTAACCCTGTTTTACTTATGGGGTGCTGAGACCTTGCAGGGTTGGGGAGAGGTCGCCAAGATCCCAGAGCGCTTGCATTTCTGTTTCTGTAGTACGCAGAAGGTTGTGCGGCGTGCATGTGGTTTGCCGAGATGGAGCTGGCTGGCATTCCTCTGGCTCAAACACACAGTCCTGTCTCAGATCCACCCCACCTCTCCGGAGTCAGGGCTGCAGGGCCAGACATAGGAGTGCATGTAGCTATAGCTGAGCGCTGCAGAAGCAGTCTGCAGAAGCAGTAGCGGAAATATCTTTAGCTGTTAATCACGTGAAAACAGCAACATAACTGGGGATTCCCAGTCCTAAGTTAGCCCAAAACCCCTCTTGACTTGGCTTGCTTTGAAAACCTGGAATATCCCAGAAGGCAAGGGACCTACAGAGGACATTTCAAGGAGGTTTGCATTGGCTGTGAATGCAAATGTGTTCTGGGCAATAGCTTGTCCTGGCCAGCCGTTTTACTGTAATAGCTCAAGTTGGCAGGAATTACTGTTTTCCAGGCAGCTCTCACTGGGTTACCTTTGCATAATTTGCAGGAAGGGAAGATACTAACTGTAAAATGGGCCTGCTCCTTTCAAAAAGCAAACAAAAAAGGAAAGCTGGACAGTTCCCAGCATTTCCTTCACTGCAGGTAAAACTGCAAATCTTTTCTGAAATAGGCAGATTCACATTTCTCCTTTTTAAGCACTTCTTTTTTTTTCCAGAGTGGTATAGAAATTGAAACGAGAAGCCCTTAAATTTACTTGCAGCAGTTAATCTAGGTCCCTGAACACCAGCTCACTCCCTTACCCTGTAAGAGAAGGAAGACAGCAGCTAGGGCTCTGTTTTGCCCTCTGGGCAGTCACTCTACACCCTTGTCAAGTGATCCCACCAGTGCCCAGGGCAGGTTGCCCAGCGAGCCACTGCCAGCTGACTGCATCGGTGTGGAGGCACAAGGCAAGGCAGAATCCAGCTTCACCTTTGTGCTGGGACCTCCAGCAAGTTGACAGGATCTGAACGGAGCAGTATCCCTTTCTGAAGAAAGCCAACGGCTGCTGGCTGAGCCCTTTGTCTCTTGGCAAGGCTGGGGGAAGCAGAGGGAGAGCGTAACAACTCTGACAGCAACAGGAGGACCCCACAGACTGGGGTAAAGGAGTTTTCCTTCTGGTAAAATACGTAGAGCTACAATTACTCAGTTGTCCACTTAACCACCTAACAGAAGGGAAGAGCCATCACCTTTATGGTGGTCTACCCATGCAGTCACTGTGCCCAGGGATAAGGACAATAACCCTGTAACTTGAGCTAACAGGACAGAAAAACTATATGCTATGAGCTGGAAGGAAGCCATTCTATCTTGTACCGCTTGTATTTCACTTGCCCTCTTTGCATGGAGCCCTGTTGTTGCACAGAAATACTTACCCTTTCCACCTCCATTCTCTTCCCCGAGTCCTACGTGCATGCAAGTTTGCTTTATTTTTTTTATATATGTAGATTTAGTTTAAACTTAAAAGCAGATACTGGTAATGTAGAGTACAATTTGTCTTCATTTTACCAATTGAAACTGTTGCTGTTATAAATGGTCTCGTGCTTTGAGGCAGTGCTAAAACACCTCTCTTTGATATGACATTTATAGCAACTCTGATGAACTCTGGGACCACTGCAACAGTGGCTCTGCTCCGGGACGGTATTGAGCTGGTTGTGGCAAGCGTGGGAGACAGTCGTGCTCTGCTGTGTCGAAAGGGAAAGGCCATGAAACTCACCATTGATCATACTCCAGAAAGAAAGGAGGAGAAGGAAAGGTACCTGTCAGCTGATGATGTGGCTTCCCAGGGAACGGCCTCAGTCAGGATGTGCTTGTGTTCTGCTGCTAGGTTGGGCCTGGAAGGAAGCAGAGAGTTGAATATAATGCTCTGAGACCACCTCTGAGCTGGCAGAAAGCAGCACAGTTCCGGTTAATTCATTTGGTATTTAGAGGACTGGGGATGTGGAAAGCCCTGCATGAGCATAAACTGTTTCAGCAGTAGGATCAGCATAGCTAGGAACTGGTACAGAGCCCTGACCTTATGGTTCAGACTTGTCCAAGACTGCCAAGTTAGAGCCAAGACCTGAAGAAATGCACTGTGGTTCCCAGGTCAGGACTCAGCCTGCCAAGCCACATCCCTTCTGTGGAGCCCTTCAAAAAGCAAAAGTCAACCCTCAGTCTCCCAGCTTAGGTCCTCTGTACCCCATTCTGCATCAGTAGGTAGTGACAGAAATTGTAGGTAGAGACGGGTAATGGTGTGGAGCAGTAACTCATACTTTTTCTTTTGTGCCTCTGGACAGGATTAGGAAGTGCGGTGGCTTTGTTGCCTGGAACAGTTTGGGACAACCTCATGTGAATGGTAGACTTGCAATGACGCGGAGCATAGGAGATTTGGATCTTAAAACCAGTGGTGTGATAGCCCAGCCAGAAACAAAAAGGGTTCAGGTAAAAGAAGGCCTGGTTAACAGGGACAGCAACATTCAGACTAAGGGGCATCATAGGTATTTGATGCAGGTTGCAGTACCCGCACGACGTGCTCACGTGAAGCCTGATAGCCAAGTGTTGATTTTTATTTGTGGTGAAGTAACTGGGGAGACCAATTCTAGTTATGTCATTTCAGATTAACACTAACAGGACAGAAAAGAATCTGGCCCTGATTCTGAATTCAACCAGATCCACTTCTAAATACCATTTATGACAGTACAATATGGGATGAGGGAAGAAAGATAACGTGATATTCATTACTGAAATAAAAAAGGTTTTAGTCTGTTTGGGGCTTGTGGTCAAATGAATAATTTTGAGGTTAATGCTGATACAAAACCATGACTAAGAGTTAGGTGGGATATGGATGGGCTGCCATCAAAAAAAAGTAGAATATGTAGAGGTTTGCACACTTGGGAGGAAGGGAATAAGAAAGGGCAGTTGCATGCGTCTTATCATAGCTCTGTAGTTGTCCAGAGAACAGATTAACCACCCGGAAGGTACTCAGCACAGTTGCCTTCACTTTTGCAGGAAGGCTCTCCTCCCAGCTCATATTCCATTTAATACTTTTCTCCACCATCACACCTCCCAGGGCCTGGGGAACTTAGATTCAGTGGGTCCTAACTAAATGCCACCACTAGGCCCAAGGGGTTTAGGGAGATGAAATCCTCAGTTTAAAGAAGCATTTTGTTAAATGGGTAATGTATGGATCTGGTGTTTTGACCTCAGTGTATTCAGAGAGCTGCTTCCTAGAACTGGAAGCCCCTTAAGACACACTCCTCCAGTACAGGGAACACAGTCTGTGTGGCTGATGGGTGCACTTGAGGATTCAAGGGGCAGCCTTTGGCTAGCCGAGGGTTTGGGGGCTCTAGTTACAGGGCTTCTTTGTACAGAAAGCAGGAGAGCACCCCCAGAAATGGTGCTTTGAAACAGTGTGTAGGGCTTCTTTGTACAGAAAGCAGGAGAGCACGCAGCACCCCCAGAAAAGGTGCTTTGAAACAGTGTGTAAAAAAAAAAATGAAGGCAGTTACTTTGCCTTGCAGCACATGCTCCATCATTGCGCATACCGTGTGCCTTTATTGCAGTTGCATCATGCAGACGACAGCTTCCTGGTCCTTACTACAGACGGTATTAACTTTATGGTGAACAGTCAGGAGATCTGTGACTTCATTAACCAGTGCTTTTTGCTGAAGCTGCCCACGTTGTTACTGAGCAGGTAATGCCAGGACTTCTCTTGGCACCAAATACTTGTTGTTGGTTTTGGTTTCGTTTTAAGAAGCTCAAGTATACAACCATGCATTCAAGTGAATTGAACTACACTGGTTGAGACATTCACTAGTCCTGCTGGCTGGCCTTTTCCTTACCCTAGGTCTTGCCATATCCTTGCTGGGCATCATTTCAATTAACTTGCTTAGCTCACAATCCACTGAACTGCGTGGGACCGTAACTGCAGTTCGTTCCTGTGCTGAATATGTCATCAGCATAGACAGAAATGGCCAGTTTCTCACCAGGGTTGTGGATGGTGGCGTATTCCATGGAAAGCTCTGGCGCATACCGGAATGCAGCATCAGGGCTGGGAAGGGGTAAAGAGGTCTTGGGCCTTGGGATGTGTCTGGCCCCATATGGGGCCAGACACTTGTTTCCTTTTCCAGGCAAGATGATGATGATGCTGACAATTTGTTTCTTCTCTCAGGCAATGCAATTCGGTACTGAAGACAACAGCACGGTTGTCATAGTGCCATTTGGAGCATGGGGAAAGTATAAAAACGGTGAGATCAACTTCTCCTTCAGCCGCAGTTTTGCATCCAGTGGGAGGTGGGCATGAAGATCTGCCACAGCTATCTTTTCCTGCCGTAACCTGGACACAGTGTGCTACAGAACACATCCATCTGTTCATAGGTTGACTCAGTGTCTTGTCCATCTCTTCTGTTCCCAATGTTATAGAAGATGCCACTGTTCCCTCGATGCGTAATGCCCAGTTGTTGCTTACGGTTGATCGCATTTTGCTGTGTTTGTTTATTCCAGTCGGCATTGAGGCAGCTATTTCTTTGGGTTTGTAGTCCCAGCAGCTCTGCACATCACTTTGTTCACATAGATGAGGCTCTGGGCTTTCACCTAAGGCTGGAGGTGTTGCACAATTGTTTCATACCTACTTGTTTTACCCAGGACCCTTAGTTACCTGGCAGCTGTGTAAGCCTGAGTCTCTGAGCCACATGCTGGCTTCTTTGTACGTTAATACATGGGGGAACAAACGCACAGTGTTCTTAGGTAGGCAGACAAAAAACAGGTTTGTTGTCTTCCTTTGCTATGCAGCTACCCAAAACTCCCCTGTGCTTCAGGAGAAGCAGGTGAAAAATAAGGGAGAAGTTTCAGAAGTGTTTAGGTTCTGATGCCAGTGGCATTTGGTGTAGCTAAACAACTTCCTGAGACAGTGCTGCTTTGCAGGGTGTTATGCTCTCACCACCATGATCTGTGATTTTCTAGCGCCAAGGAGACAGAGCTGGCTGCAGCCACGTGCCGTTGGACGGATGGGAATGTTTCTCCATTGGGTCCAAAGCCTGTATGGTCTCTGTGGACCATGCAGCAGCCCCTTGCACCGTCTTCTCTTTGGTGTGCCAGTACTTGACAGGAGCACAGAGGAGGGAAAAAGTTGCACATTTTTGATATCCAGAGACTCTCATCAACTTGAATTTTAATTTTTTTTTTAAAAAGAAAACCAGCTAATTTCAAAGAGTTTACTAATCAAGATTCTTTGGATGTGTAAGACAGGAGTTTATTTCTTCACAAGTATACGAGGATTTTCCTTCGCTGAAGGTTTCTTTCAGTTAGTTGTGATCTCCTTTGTCTCTTCATGGTATACAGGGAGCTGTAAAACGCCCAAAGCAAGCAATCTAAAGAAAGGAGAGAGCATTATAACAACTTAAGGTAATTTTTATAAGTTTTGGGTATTGTTTCTAGTAGGTGTCAGATACTTAGACACCAGAGGGTAGTTTTATACTTCAAGGAAGCATTTCCACTTCCGTTTCTGGAAGGAGTCTGTGAGTGAGGCACCGGGGGCCAGAGCTCTGAGCCAGCTTGTATGGCTGCTGTGACACAGACTGCAGGTGACCTGTTGGCAGCAGGTGAAGATCTGACCTGTTGTGCCTCATTCAGACCTCCTCCTTCCTCCGTTCCACATCAGGTGTGCGGCTCCTGTGGCCTCCAAGTCACCCTGTAACCATGAAATATGGGCAGGGAAGAACTGGGTGGTTCTGAGGCTTGCCACAATATTTTTCTTCTACGGATGTTTCCAACAGCACAATTGTAAAAACAAAACAAAAAAAGTGAAAGAGAAATTGCCTGATACTAAATCACCTTGCAACAAGGAAAAATATTTCTGAGATGCCAGGCCTGATTCTCATTTTCCAGTGTGAAGAACGTATCTTCATTACTTTTAGACCTTTTAGCCCAGGGTTATACCTTAGGCAGTCATTCCACGTGTTCTTCCGTGCCTCTGGTCGAAGGCCTAGCAGCACCCAGCAAAGCACAGTGTTGTATTGACAGCATTAAGTACTAGGTTTTTTAGAGTATGCTGGTTTTGTGCCATCACTTGGTGTATTACATGGTGTATGTAACGTGTATATTCAGTTTATAAGTACAAAGAGCTTGTGAGTTGGTACATGTAAATCTGTTGTATTGGATGCTGTTGCCCAGGCCTCCGTAACAAGCGCATCACTGGTTTACAATAATAATCCCTTCTCTCACTCCAGATTTTCTTCAGGGCTGGGGTTCAGTCTTCAACTGCAGTCAGAATGTTTGCTGGTCACAGTCCTGGGCTCAGCCTTGCTTCCCTGAGGCAGAGGGACACTTGTAGTTGTTACCAGCGAGAGCAGGTTCTCAGTCTGTGGCGAATTTGAAGATTCCCACAACCCGTTTGTGGCGAAACCGGCAAAACGCAGCCTCTCCCGAGCACTTGAGCAGCAGTTGTGCCTGACAGAGGTTCAGAGGGCTGCTCTGGGAATGTGGTTATGACTGCTTTGCGGTGCAGTGTGAACAGCTGACAGCCTTTCTCCTGCCAAAGACTTGACCTGCTAAAACAGCAAGTCCGATAGTTGCTAGGAAAGGGTTAACCACAGCACCAGCAGTCTTACTCTGGGCACAGTGAAGGGTTAGAGTCAAGCTCTGGAGAGGGAGTTGCTGTGGGGGGTGGCTTTGGTATCAAGTGTCAAGACAGGCTTAAGTAGTGCTGCAGGGATTCGGACAAGCTCCATTGACATTGTCCTCTTCCAAATGCTGCTCTTTTCTGTTCGGCCGGCTAGCCATCTATCCAGACAGAAGATATCAAGGGTGCTGGGGGTGTTTGTGACAAGTACACACTGGTGGGTTTTTTTGAGCAGTGCTGGATACTTGCCAAGCTGAAGATATGGTATTAAATGCAGGCTGCTAATGAAAAACACTGCAAATGAAGAGCCAGTGCTCTGAGGAGTGACCTGGCAGTTAGAGTAGCTTCTAAACATTGACCCAGATGTAACATGAAACGATGCTTTTTCTTCTCATTGGTGGTTTTGGGGCATTTTTTGTTTTATCCCTATCTGGTTGCTTGATTTCATAGAGAACAGAAGTGGTTGAGGGCTTTTATTTCTTCTAACAGAGTGGTTATCCTCTCAGGGGAAGGAGCCATCCATAACTTCTTTTACATTTTATAAAGGAAGGGATAAGACAAAGCTTTGCAAAACAGAAGATGATTAGATAAGGATGTATCACAGGTGGCTGTTACTGCCTTTATAGAATCACATTTAAACTTAGATTGGAAGAGGCTTCTGGGTGTCACCTAGCCTAGCCCCCTGCTCAAAGCCGGGCTAACTTTAGAATTGCATACTGCAGTGAAGGGATGTCTCCTGATACGGAAATGCAGCGCCTGAAAATGTACGGGAGAAAGAACTCAGCATGTAGCGCGGTTTACCATTGGAACCACTTAGTTGTATTGAAGTTGAAAACTTACCAGTATTTAACAGGTACTTTGCATAGCTACCAATAAATTTCACAAGTAAATTAGCACATACATAAAACTAAGATCTGAGCCATTTTGCTCTAAGCAAAAGTGAATCGGTAACTCACAGATTACAGAGATGCATTTCTTACACACAGGTTTTTCTCTGCTTGTTCACTGTAGTTTTCTGCATCTCATTCTCAAGTAAATGAACCACTGATGAGATGAAATGCTGTGCCAAGTGGCCCAGTAGTTTGCCTGTTCCTCCTTCCATTAAGAACAGAGGTACCATCACACTGGTTTGTGTGGATTCCTTGTTTCATGCTGTACATTGCAAGACTCTTGAGTGCCAGTGTGAAAAACATTTTGTAGAAACACTCCATTACGAGGACCATCGGTCTCTGTCTCCTGGACCACAATACTGCTTTTTTCTAGGAAGATGACAGTAAACTCTCCTAAGATTTAGTGGCAACTGCACCAAACCTTGTGTTTCTCCAAGAAGTCAGGAAAAACCTGCAATTTCCTGGGTGATGCATTTTTCATCATTCTCACTGAAGAGTCAGTAGAACAAGTCCCTGGCCCTGCATTTCAGTTTTGGGGCTGTTTTGACACTGATACCATGTCGGCAGAGTGAGCTTTGCTGACACATTCACGTGTTGAGTGGGACATAGGTGTATGCCGCTGAATATGGAGTGCACGGATTATGAAGTCAGTGGAGTAAAGCCATGTTGGGGAAACTGGAAGTGGTTTGTCATAGTGGTATCAGGGAACCAAATTAGCAGTGCTGCGGTAACATCCAGCCAGCAAATGTCTTGGCATAAGGTTCTCCACCAGAGCTAGGTACTGCTCTGCTGTGATGAAGCTGTACTCCTAGGGTGGTTTGTTTGGTTTTTTTCTATCAATCAGCCTCCTGCTGCCTATAGCAGCTCTGCAAGCAACCAGCTTTACACCGCAGGGACCAGCAAAATCCTCTTGTCTAGCAGAGAGCTCCTTTCTACTTGAAGACAAAGAGCAAATTGTCCTAACAGCAGCAGTTGCCTATCAGAGAGGTTTATTATTGAAGAATCACTAGAGGTATGTTACACTGAATGAAACGAAACAGAATCTCAGTTTGCTCTGTAGCTCACTGTCTTTCCCATGCATCTGTTGTTTCAACAAAAAGAGTATTTTTTGTTTGTTACAGACTAAACTGAACATTAAGGGTGACCTACTGAGCAAACCATAACAAGCAGTTGCTTTTTTCCTGCCCTTTAGGGATGGATTCTGAAGTCCATTGGATCCGGTAAGAGTATTTTCTTGCCTGAACACTCCCCTGGGAGCAGCGGTATTTCTCACTGTACAGGCACTGCAGGAGGGTGGGCTGCAGGTACAGCAAGGTGAAAAACGCTGTCCAGCTAGATGCTAATTTGTACTGTGAGGATATGGAAGGCACAGGAGGCCCCGTGTTGCTGGAGGATTTACTAGGAGAGGTGTTGAGACTACAACTGAAGTTCCAGCTCGGTCTCTCCACCACCTGGAAAGAGGGGTTTCGTGCTTTGGAGGGGGAACTTGCTAAAATGTCATTTGCAGCCTTGATTTAGGAGAGCTGGTGAACGTAGTGCAAGAGATTGAAATGGGGATGAGATCCAACAGTTTGTATTGAAGACCTTGTATTAAACAATCCCTTTTGGTTGAAAAGCTCACGATTGGAGAATAATCACAGAGCACAGTTAGTGGTTGAGAACAGCAGCGTAGAAAGAAATCACAGTCAAAAAATTATGAAAGCTTAGACTCACCACAGGATTTCCACTGACTTCTACAGGGTCAGGGTATCAGATCACCTTTTCTGTCTCAGCAGGCAGATGTGCTGTGGTCAAAGGCATCAGGATTTGTAGCTAAGGGAGAAGCACAAACCAACAGATACCAGTGAAACTGGTTTA